TTCTGCACGCGTGCGCCTCGTAGTGGTAGAGCAGGGGCGAGCACCCGCCAGCTGCTGCAGCGAGGCGGCGCCGAAGTCAATGAGAAAGTCGGCAACCAGGCCCAGCGCCGCCTGACCCACTGCGCGAAGATATCGAGGCTCGCTGCCTCCAGCAGGGTGAGGACCAGTCTTGGGACCTCCAATCGGGCGCCAGGTATACTTGGCCCCATCTGCACGGCCACGATAAGAATCAGGATCGTCAACCTGGTAGATGCCGATGAGCTCGCTCTCGACGTGAGAAATGAACTGGCCTGACTGGGCATCCATGCGGCCGATCGCCTCCTCCTTGGAAGCGGGTGGGCCTCGCTGCGCGTCCCTGTCCACAATGTCCAGGTAGTCTGGCGCGGGGATCGGACCATGTAGAGGATGGCAGCCCTCCGTGGCAGGAGGCCCTTTGGGCAGAGCCCTGGGGGCGCTGATGCTGAGGATCTGCATGGTCTTCGGCTTGGCCTTGATGTAGGTGGTGACGGGCTTCCTGGCGCCGGAGGCGCCCATGTATCGAGGAATGGGCCCGGCGGCGGGGCCGAAACCAGCTGCCTGCAGCAGATTTCGTAACCCCCCTTTCCCAATCCCCCCTTTCGTCTGGCCCGAGACTCACCACACGGCGGTGAGGTTACCACACCGTTCGGGGCCCCACGAGAAGCAAGAAGGACGGCCGACACGTCGTGCGAGCCTGGCCAGGGGGCCCGGCCCTCCGCGCGGATATAAGTGAAGGGGCCCTGGGACACACAAAGAAATAAATACACACAAATAGAAGGATTCCCCATGCTTTCACATATTTTCTAGGTTTTTTTCTTCCCGCCCACTTCCCATACTGTCCTGGGAGTGGAACTGTGTCTGTGTGTTTTTCCCCTCCTGAATAAAGCCCGAGCAACCACGGCGAGAAGAGCGCCGTGGCGGGAGTGGGGCCGATGCTGGCGAGGCAAAGACATGCCCCCGTTCCGTTCCGTAGCGGCCCGGAGGGTGCCCCGTCCGTGGAGGGGATCGTGCACGGGAGGAGGGAGAGGGTGTGGGACGGTGCGTGAAGACAGGCGTCACTCCTCTGGAGGCGCCTCGATCGCACAGCCTCACTCGAAGGAGGAAGGAGGTGGAGGGGGACTTGTGGCTCAGGCCAGCTTCAGAAGCCTCCCTGGTCAAAAGGCCAAGCAACAAACAGGCCGGGGAGCCCGTACGATCCGATCTCTGTCACTTCCTTGCATGGCCTCTGGCGACCTCCGCGTCCCGTCCCGCCTGCCACCTCCCCCCGATCCCCCTGCACCAGGAGCGGAGGGGGTGGGGGGGGTCGGCGTCGCCGTGCTTTTCTCCGCCGACGCGGCTCGGCTCGGATCCGAACGGGGGCCTCAAGCTCAGATTCCTGGGTCCAGCTCGGACGCCCTCTGCTGCAGGTGCTCGGTGCTGCCCCCAACTCCCTTCTGCTTGCTGCGCTGGCGGTCGGGTCCTCGAACATGTTGGCCCTGATCTTCGCGGGCCCCGACGCGGCCGCCTGCGGAGGGGTAGCGCCGCGCTGCGGCCGTCGCCGGCAGGGGCAGGCGCTGCAGCAGAAGGATGACGAGGACGAGGGTTTCTAAAGTAATCGTGGAGGGTCCAAGATGGCACAGGATGGCTCGCTTCAGAGAGCCGACGACTACCTCCACGATGGCTCAAGCAGGACAGCTTCCAACGTGCTCCCAGAAGGCCCAAGACTGCCCGAAAGACGGCCCCGGGTAGCCATGGGGCCTCCCGAGGAAGTCACCAGGAGGCCAACATCCTTCAAACACGCGCGAAACTCTATGTTTTTACCTTCTCGCGCTTTCGCTTCCTATAACCTTCCAATGCCTCAAGATGGCACCAAGAGAGCCCAAGGGAGACCCAAGAGGGGCCCAAGAAGGCCCCAAGACCGCCCAAGAGCGACCCAGGAGCGCTCCAAGAGGGCCCCAAGAGGCGACCTCACAGGGGCGATGCTAATCCCACCAGACCTTTAGAGCGTGAGTGGTTTAGCGCGCTTCCTTTCCAATCCCCCTTCTTCCCCTTTTCGGTTGGTTTTCGCACTGCTCCTTCTTCATAAACACCCCCTCCCCCACCCGACCCGCGAAAAACCAGGGGCACTGACCCCCCCTCCCCACACACCATCGTTGGTGAAAAACGATGCAAAGTATATGTTGGACCAAAATCTGGATCCTGCGCGGATGCCCCGCGATCACTTTACACTGTTTTTTTACGGGAATGGTGGGGGTGTCCACATATTGCCTGCTGTGGGCACTTGCCACCACATCCCCTGCAGTCAAAATACCGAGTACATGTTGCACGAACACCTGGACCGTGCGCCGGCACCCCGCGATCACTTTGCATTGTGGTTTTCTGGCAGGGGCCGGCATGTTGCCTGTTGCGTGCAGGACCACCAACCCTACCAACAAATCGTCGTGGCGAGGGACCCAACCACACGTATGTTTGAATAGCGCAGTCGTGAGAGCCGACTTCGGCGGAGCTCCCCATGGGGCCACGAAACGTGTGAGGGCTGTGCCGAAATGGGTCGGGCGGACGAATGTGGCCCCTCCACCTGGGGCCTTCGGTGGAGCGCAATTTGGGGCCACGTGTGAGGGGTGTGCCGAAATGAGTGTGGCGGACGCATGTGGCCACACCCACTCGGGCCTTGGGTGAAGCTCGCTCACCATGGGGCCACGAAGCGTGTCAGGGGTGTGCCGACATGAGTGTGGCGGGCACGTGTGGCCACATCCACTGGGGCCATGGGTGGAACTCCCCATGGGACCACGAAGCGTGTGAGGGTGTGCCAACATGGGTGTGATGACGACGGTGCTGCTGACGATGATGGTAGTGATAGCGTGCGGAGGGCAGAGGCAGGTCTGAGAGGACGGAGTAGCGAGCGCATGAGGGGACGCGCCGAGTCGGGATTCGGGACAGAGAGCAACGATTGGGAAAGGTGAGAACGCACAATCACTCACAGACAAGGTGGGAGGGCAAGCCCAATCATATCCCCTCGCACGCACCCGACGACGGGCCCATGCAGCAGAGACAGGCCAGGAGGCTGGCCTGGGCTCGGGGCCGATCGAATCACCAGACCCCGCACAGAGACATCAAGAACAAAACGACTTGAACCGAATTCAAGGAGCTAGGCCAAGCCACTCCACAGCGGGGTCAGAGACCAACATGCGCCGAGGGAGGGGGATGGGGTGCCTGCGGCCCTCGCTGGGGTGACGACCCTCGGCGAAATTATTCCGCCTCCATTTCCTCTGAGGGTTCCCCTCAAAGGCTTTGGGGCCCTCACATTCAATATAAAGCTGGGATCGGTGAGCACGCTCCGAAAAAGGATCCGCACCGCATGCATCGTCGCCCGCACGGTAGAGCACATGGCCTCGCGAGGCCTGAGGGGGGACCGTCCCCTCCGCGGGGAGCACCGTGCTGGGAGGGGCGGCGTTGGCCCTCGTGGTGGCCGCCGCAAGCCGAGGGCGCTTCTCCGAGCCAGTCGGGGGATCAAGGGCGACCGTGGCTTCCCTAACACGAGTCTGGACAGGCGGCTCAAATTGCACTCTCGGCTTGACCCTACGGGGGGGCTCGAATGAACGCCTCAGCCTCCTCGTCCTCAGGCCTCCTAGATTTGCCCACAATCCTAACCCTCGGGCTCGGGTGGGGAGGAGGAGGAGGAGGAGGAGGAGGAGGAGGAGGAGGAGGAGGAGGAAGGTCAGAGGACGAAGCAGGGGAGGAGGGAGGGTCCCCGCGCAGCACCTTCCTCCCAGGGCCGTCCTCGTCCAGTCCGCCTCCCAGGCCGACTAGGCTGCCCAAGGGCCTCTTGGGGGCCTGTCGGGGGCCGAGGGGCGGGCTCCGCGGGGTCACCTCAGGGCAGGACTGGGGCTCAGGGACCTGAGGTTCCGAGGGGCGGTGCACTGTGCACGCCTCGAGGGCCAAGCGCCTCCGTCCAGATGCGGTCCGCGCGAAGCGCTGTACATTTCCATCCTCCAGCCAGCGCGGGCCTGATGTCGTGCAGGCGCTGGCTCAGGGTCAGAACTGGCTGCTGGCGTCCAGGCCGACGTCGGTGCTGGTGTCGTCGACGTGGCTTGCGCGCAGGCGGTGGCTGGCGGCCCTGGTTCCCAATCAGCGTCATGGAGGACCCAATCCAGCACGCAACCTGCCTGACAACGTTGAGCATGCTCGAGTGGAATTGAATGGCTTCCGACGGCAACGCGTGCATAGCCATCCCCCGCTTCGCTGAAACATCTGCATAGTCATTGCCCTTCTTGTCTACCGTTACCTCGCCTTGAGTCTGGTGCGATCGAACATAGGAGATCTCCAGCGGCGAGGACAATCCTCCATGATCTTGGATGGCCTGCCATAGCAATCTCCACAGATCACAATTCGGCCTGCGCGGGTGTGTGCACCACGCAGGCCCGCACATGAGGCCCTCCACGGTGCCCAGGCAGTCCGTGCGAATATGCATCGGCAGCATCCCATGTCGTAGAGCTTGAATGACCGCGTGTAGTTCTGCACGCGGCACTGATTGTTGGTGTCCTGGGAGTGGTCCATACGCAACCCCTCGTAGAGCCTGACCTGTCATCATCGCAATCCCCCAGCCTGCTCTGTTGGCCTCGGGCCAGGCTATGGGGGAGAGCCCTGATCCATCCTTGTAGATATCTCCCGTCAGCATGGTCATGCCACCTCCGTGGGCAAACCTCCAGGAGCCCACCATGGATGGTGACGGAATAGCAGGCAGGGCGCCCCTCGGCATCAGGCCCCTGGTGAACAAGAGGTCGTTATGAGGTGAGGCTCGAGCTGCCTGGATAATGTCAGCGTCAGCTGCAACTTCTCTTTCTTGCTGGAGCAAAGGGCAGGACCAGAGACGATGATGTACTGTTCCAGGGCAGTCCATACAATATTGGCACAAGTTATCGGTAGCGTATCCATGTTTATGTAATCGAGCCTGGGACCACTGACCACCTATGATCGAGGTGCGTAGTGCTGCTCGAGCCTGCTCCGACAAGTGCCACTTCTTGGCCAGCTCCTTCGGCGCCAGCAGCATCTTGAGAGGGCCCATCCAGTAGCCGCAAGGTCTCCTGATTGGTGGGTCGTCCTCTGGCGCATGATCCTTCCGGCGACTCCAATCCTCAAACTTCACGTTGACAAAGTCCCGTCTTGCTAGAACTCTGAGCCACTCAGGGCTGTCAGTAGTGAGGTCCAGGGCTGTACCTGAGCACGTAGTCCATGCCGTCGCCGCCGTCGCACGCCAGTTGAGAGCATGAAATGCCACCAAGACGGCTCCTGCTGGGCTGGCTACGTCAGCATGCTTCGGGGTAGAACCTAGTATCTGGCGCTGCTGCATGAAAGCCTTCTCCAGCACGTAGTTGGGCACCTTGGTGTCTTGGACGAGCATGGCCCACGTGTAAAGGGGGCCCACAATCGCCATCATCTCAGGGTGCTCGAAGAAACGCGGCTCGAGCTGAGCCGCCAGCCAGACTGAAGTGCCAGGAGGAGTGCGCCGCCAGCCCACGCGAACCATGCTGACCATCGACTTGATCAGCGTCTTGGTGGCGCCCACGATCTGGATGCCGTACTGCATGGCGGGGGCAATGCATGGCTGCGCCACCGCTCACCCTATTTTGGCCAGACCACTGAGCCTCCTGAAACGTGGAAGCCTCTTCTTCATCTTGCGCGCCCTCTTGCGAATCGTTTCGAAGCTCAGCCTGTGTCCTCCTTTAGCTTCCATGCCGAGCACCTCCAGAGTTCTGTAAGGTCGAAATCCGTGACGATGGACCTGCTGCGTGACCTGCTGCGCAACATCGAAATCTGAGGCCAACACTTTCGCCCTGTCCTGAGCAATTGGAAGGTCAAGGGCCTTGAGAACTGCAGCGGGTCGCTGCAAGATACGCACCGTCTGGTAGACGATGCCCTGCAACGTGGCAACCACCTGGACCGTGATATCGTCTGCATAGATGCCCAATGAGTGGTGCACCTCGTCGGTGTTGGCGAATGATTTCTCGAAGATGTCGAAAGGCAGCATCATGACCAGCTGCAGCAGGAACATACCAATCGAACAACCTGGGAGCACCCCCCTACTTACTTGGCACGAGTAGGAGAAAGAGGTGGTCCACTTGATTCGCCTCGGGGCGTAGTACATCGCCAGGCACAGCTGCAGGATCTGCGCTGGAAATCCGCAGTGTTCGGCAGCCTGCAGGACTCGACGCCAACAAACTCGGTCGAAGAACTTGCTGATGTCCACGAGTGTGGTGGTGGTGGCCCTCCGCTCGTCATGGGCGTAGGCCTCGGCGAATATCATGGTGCGCGCGCCCGTATCTAGTGTACATTTGTGGGTGCCCAGCGCGAAATAAGGCCGAGTATTCTGAGAGATCCAAACCCGAGCTTGCGCAAGCCTGAGCTTCGCGTAGATGCGATACGTCGCAGGTAGGAGAGCTATTGGCCGAAACCCTCCTTGCGGCTTGGCAAGGAGCATGATGTGCACGTTGAGCATAACCGTCGGCCAGCGCATCCATGCTTCGG